CCCGACAACTGCAAGCAGCTTTCTTTGTAGTAAGTTTGTGCCATTACTTCTTTCAAGTATACAAAGATGTCTATCTCTTTCAACCGTAAACTCCTCCAAACCCGTTCTTAGCCTATATGTGTGTTTTGCTCATATTTATATCTCTGGATTGGTGAATTACACTGCTCCCCATGTGTGTGGGCTGAAAATGTCTCATGGGACTTTTAAAAATAGTTCTTTGTTTCCAGAAAATATTTCTCAAGCCTGTACTCTGCGGAAGGTATGTTAGTATGTGCCCATGACTGCACAAACACCCATTCACATGGATTAGGTCCTGTACCCACATAGAGAGCAGAGCCCTGAGGGCTTAGAAGATGGGCCACTTTTTGATGAGCAAGAGAAGAAAGAGATGGGTGCAATGGACGATTCTTTAGGTGGTGCATTGCGTGGGTTAATCTTAGCTGGTCTGGTTTGACCACATGCTTTTTCCCCAGAGTATTGTTTGGCAATGCTATGTATGGATCATGCTAACTAAAGATGAATGATATGCTCTAGTCATGGGCCCTCAAATTGTTTCAGGGCAAGATATGTCAGCTTGTTGATGTTGCTTAGCAACAGAATTATATTTATGATTTGCACCTAAGTTCACTGGAACTGGGGGCCTGACAGTTAAGGCTGTCTACATAGCTAGGGTGCACCTACATGACCAGCTCACTCTAGGAAACTCTGTCATGAGCAGACTTTGGGCTTCCTGGTATCAAGGTGCTTGGCAGGATTATCAGTAGTGGTTCCAGACCTGGAGGCAAAGGGTGACTGTTGTGACTGGGAAGTGAGAGGACAAGAAGGCCCAAACTTGGGTTCTGCAGATCCTGGTGAGTGCACTTTCCCATCTACTGTTGCTGTACTATATCTCTCGCCTGTCAGAAAGCTGTCATCTGAGTATACACCATTTGATTTCTGTGATTCTTTTAGCAACAGAACCCTGAATGTGGTCAATGTGCAGTTAATACAGGTGGCGAGATCTGATCCTCTGTGAATGCCCCCCACCCCGCAGTAAGCCAAGAGGTTCCATGATAACAAGGCGTGGGAGGGTGGTGCTGGTGAGAATTGTTAAGTGTGCAGAAGGGTGGGTAGTCAGGGAGCTATTAAGGATACTTCCATTTAGTTATTTTATTTGCAATATCATTTATTACTTACTGTGTTCAAGGTATCATTTGGGGTACTGTGAACTATACAACTCTGAATAAAACACAGCTGTTCATGATCCACATAGGGAGATAAGAGAAATATGCAAATAACTATACTCCAAAGCAGTGTTTAACATATTACTTCAGAGTGATAAGGAATCACATGACCTCCTTCAAAGACATACATGGAGGAAGGAGGGGTTGCTCCAGGCCAAGGGTTACAGTGTTTTGGCTGAACCTTAAAGTATGGGCAGGATATATATTTCCAGGATGGCAGTAGGAGGACAGTTTTGGAAGATGCAATGGCATGAACAATGTCGCAGAGGAGGGAAAGCACAGTGTTCCTGGGGAGGAATGACTTGTCTAGACTTAGAATTGAGGTCAGACGACAGATGGTGGGTTTGAGTGTCTTGGAATAGGTTTGCAGTTTAAAATTTAGGTAGTGGGGAGGGCACTAGAGACAGTTAAGGTAATTTAGAGCAGAAGGATATGTTGGATTCTGAACATCTTTATTGGCAAAGGAAGATGGATACAAGGAAGGAGAGGTGGGAAGAGGGTGGAAGGAGGAAGACAGTTATTAAGGGGTTATTGTGACCCCTTAGTGTAAAGTCGAGGTGGCCTGCAGAAGGGTGGTGGCATTTCTTTATGTTTGGATAGTTCTGTCTAGGATTCACTCTAAGAGGGTTTATTTATTTTTCTTCCATGGGGTTTTGCTTTGAATCTAAGAATTCAGAAAAGTGCACATAGAAAATGTATACATTACAATTGTTAAACTGACAGATCATGAACAATAGTTTTTTTCTTAACTGGAGTAATATTGGTTTACAGTGTTGTGTTATTTTCTGCTGTACAGTGAAGTGACTCAGCTATATGCATACATATATCTCCCTGTCCCTGTTGGACTTTCCTCCTACCCAGCCCCTGCTCTACCCGGCATCCTATCCATCCAGGTTACCACAGAGCACTGAGCTGAGCTCCATGATCAGAGTTGGACATGACTGATCGATTAACACTTTTATGGATGAAGGTAAGTAGCTATTGTTCTTGCTTATCACAAAAACATCAACATATGCAAAATAAGTGGCAGCAATTTCTTCAACATATCTGCCATACTGAGAGGCTGTCTTTCAACAAAGCCCAAAGCTTAAGCTCCTCAGACCCTATGACAGGACGAAGAAAATGGCTTGGGGAAATTCTACCACCACTTTGGGGGAAGTGAAGGGCAGTGTATTATATCTGTGTGTGGGCGAGGGTTTCAGTGTGGGAGAGAGCATGCACCAATTAGTAAAACATTCTTAACTCATTCCTTCTCATTTCCTTACAGAAAGTAGCAATAAGTCACATTATTTTCTGAGTGAAGGCTCTGGAATATACTTGCTGGGATAAGGCAAACATAACTAACAGCTAGCCCTTTTACAGCCCCTCACATTAATTAGGGAGCAGATTAACATGTCAGATGCTTCTAAAATAGGAGGGTTGTAACGAGTCTGTGGTCTGGCACAACTGACACATTGATGACGTTTGTTAAAAACAGCACCAACCCTCCCTTTGAGTGACCTCCAAGAAAAATGATGTTTACATCGCATATTAGAAACATAGCCTGCAATTTAGTCATAAAACCCCAATTATGGTTTCATGACGCTGGAATGACCCATGAAACAGCAATGGCTTAAACAGTCAGGTACAGTGTCTTCCCTTTCTTTATTGTGTAATGTGGACTTGAGCATATACTTCAATTGAGGAAGAGAAAATCCATCCATAGAATTTAATTAAAGGTACCTACTATGTGCGGTTTCTCAGGTGGTTCAGTGGTAAAGAATCTGCCTGCTAATGCAGAGACGGGAGTTCAATCCCCAGGTTGGGAGAATCCCCTGGAGAAGGAAATGGCAACCCACTCCAGTATTCTTGCCTGGGAAATCCCATGGACAGAAGAGTCTGGTGGGTCCCCATCTACAGGGTCGCAAAAGAGTTGGACATGACTTGGTGACTAAACAAGACCACCACCACCTACTAGGTAATTAGGATTGTTTTTAGGGCATGTGAGGGATTTAGAAGAAGCAGAAAACATGGGCTTTGCCTTAATTGACTGCAACATAATTAATTCTTGAAGCCCACACAACTTATTGAGTCCTGTGCACAGTGTGATCACATACATGGCGATGTTGTGAGGATAAATGTTATCACAGAGCAGTAAGCAAAGTTCCATGGAAGCACAGACGCAGAACAGGTTTTCGGTGCTAAAGGATTTGGAGAGGTGTTCCCAAGAGAGCAGATGTTTGAGTTCAGTCTTGAAGATAAAGAAAAGATTGTCACAGGACAAGAGGGGGATGTGCAAGTCATGTTAAGGAGAAGAGACAGCTTGTATGAAGACAGAATTTCAGAGTCCAAGGCGATTTGGTTAAAGGGACAAATTTAATGGTCTGTTAATGTGATCATTAGGTAAAGAAATATCTCAAAGTAATAATGACAATAATGATATAGAACTTGTAAAAAGAAAGATTCCTAAACTCAGTAATCTACTTGCTGGCCCACAATAAATTCTTTCTTTTTTCTTTTCTTTGCATTAAGTTGGTCTTACTTAACCTCAAGGCTGGGCTTGCCAGGTTGCCCAGCAGTAAAGAATTTGCCTGCTAATGCAGGGGACACAGGTTCGATCCCTGGGTGGGGAAGATCCCCTGGAGAAGGAAATGGCTACCCACTCCAATATTCTTGCCTGGGAAATCCCGTGGACAGAGGAGCCTGGTGGGCTACAGTCCATGGGTTTGCAAAAGAGTTGGACATGACTTAGCAACTAAACAACAACAACAACCTATAAGGCTAACAGTATGAGAGAAATAAAGAAGCAGCCTTTTTTTTTTCCCCAAAGAGGACATGAAGATGGCCAACAGGCACATGAAAAGATGGTAACATTGGTAATCATCAGGAAAATACAAAGCAAAACCACAATGAGATATCATCTCACACCTGGCAGAATGGCTATCATCAAAAAGAATACAAATAACCATGTTAGCAAAGATGTGGAAAGAACAGAAGCCTTATACACTGTTGGTGGGAGTGTAAACTGGAGTAGCCACCATGGAAAACAGTACGGGGGTTTCTAAAATAACAAAACAGAACTACCACATGACCTAGCAATTCTATGCCTGAGTATATATCGTCCCAAAACAAAAACACTAATTCAAAAAGATACATTTATCCCAATGCTCATAGCAGCACTATTTATAATTGCTGAGATATGGAAGCAATGTAAGTTGCATCAACAGATGAATGGATAAAGAAGATGTGGTATATACATGTAATGGACTACTACTCAGCTATAAAAAATGGAATTTTGCCATCTGCAGCAGCATGGATGGACATGGGAGGCATTATGCTCAGTGAAATAAGTCAGACACAGAAAGATTGGTACTATATGATGTCACTTATATGTGCAATCTAAAAAACATAACACACTAATGAAAAACAAAACAAAAAAGCAGCAGATTCACAGATATGGAGAACAAAGTCGTGCTTACCAGTAGGGAGAAGGAAGGGGGAAAAAAGGGTTATTATGTGATTATATGGTATCATGTGTGTGAAACTTTTGAAAATTGTAAAGCATTACAGAATTTAAAGAGTCTTTCACTCAGTTAAAAGAAAAACAAAAAAGAAGCAGCCTTGTGGAGAAGTTGATAAATTCTGAAAAATAATATTTTTTTAGTTTGCCCCTACAATTTCAGTTATTAGTTCATCCAGTTACCATATCCTAAATAAAACAGAGTAAGGACAGTAGCTTGAATTGTAGTAAAATCTGGACAGTATTGCCAAAGGCAGAAAAAGGACTGAAATTCTTACTTGTCTCTAGGACTGGATATAGTATCTGCAGACTTTGAGATGCTCTGACAAAGAATGCTGGTGTGGCTGAAAGAGAAAAAGGGGGAAAAAAACCATTAGTCACCCCTGTAAAAAATGGTCTGATGTGACCTTGTTACATCCTCATTTTCAAATGTCAACATGTGACCTGGCCCAACCTCACAAAAATTCTCTCCTTTTTTCTTTCTTTTCGAAACTAAAATTGCACCTATCCTCTGAAAGGAACTCCTAAATATTCAGAGCAAATGGAAACCTTTTGTTCAGTTGTCTCTGGTCTCACGCCTGGACACAGTCAGGAAGGATGAAGAATAGCCTTCCTACATCATTTAGGTCCAAACTTAAGTCTTGCTTGTGAAAACAAGGAGGAACATAAATTCTTTATAAAAACAGTATTAAAAACAGTTCAGCCAAACACATTTATTCTTAGAAATAAACATGTGAGCAACCCCGGGAGTAGGGAAGGAATGAGGGGAAGTGAAAAACTGGACAAGAGGGAGAGACAGAACTTCAGGACACAAGATGGGCAATGAGTCTTCGGTCATAAAGGAGTTCTAATGGAACTGATACTAGAATTAGGTTACATGAAAAACAGGAGAAATGGAACATGATCAATGTAGCTATCACTGAACTGTTGAACTGGGTTAACTGCAAACATATTGTAACTGCTGTCTGCTTTTGGTGGAGAAGGGGGTATCGGTAAGATTCTTCTCATCCCGCCAGGTTATCCCTGGGTTGCTAGAGAGGCGGTGTGACCCAGGTCCCCAACAAACACAGAGCACTACCTCAAAGCAGCGAAACTGCTAATGCTGTTGGTGCTCAATAGAAACCCACAGTAACAGTGCTAGAAATCATTTTCTGATGTGAAAAAAAGGAAAAGGAAGAAAATGAAGATGCAGGGACAGTGAACTGGCCCACATCTATCCCCCTGAATTTCAGAACGGGTGAATCCTGTCCGTCTGTCCTGAGCCACTTTTCAATGTGTTTTTTCACTAACTTCTCCCACCTGGCCAACCAGTAGGAAGCACCGTTCGGGTCTGGAGCTCAGAATATAGAAGCTAACAGAGGAAATTAAGATCCTCTCATCAAACGCTGCAGAATTCTAACCCCCAAAAGTTTTCAAAGCCTGGGCATATCAGGGAGAGCATTTTCCAAGTGAAGTTAGGTTTGGGGGCCTTTGGCAAATAATATTTTAAATTCTGTATGACTTTCAGCTCCAAAAGGATTTTTCATTCTCTCTCTAAATTTTAATATTAACTTTATCTGCAGAAGTTCATTTACTCCCAAATGCAATAAAGAATTATGACAGAAAGCAAATAGAATACACATTTCCTTGGAGTAGATAATGTACTACACATGGATTTTAACGTGACCAGAAAGGAAAATTGCACTTTATGAAAATCCCCTCGAGTCTACTCACTGCCTTGATACCCTCAGTCTTTGTAATTATCGTTATCTAGACCCCAACCCCCACCTTTAATTCCTTGCTACAAATCAGAGAACACTTTATTACACCTTGCCCCTAAATTGGGCACTAGAACATTATTTTTAGTCAAGGTCGGGCAAGTTTATGTAACTTTCAACTGTGAATGACTTCTTTCACTGACAACTATGTATGCCTTGAGAATGTTTAAAAAGGGTCCAAAAAAAGAGGAAAATTAAGTCAATCAGCAATGACAGACACACAATCATCTGTGTTCTTTTGGTCAAAATTATCCAGCGAGTTTGTCTCCGAGTAAAAAGACACCAGTTTCCAGGCTCAGACCAGCAGGAAAGTTGATCAATTTCTCCAGAATGATGACTGATACAGAAAGTGGGGGGTCAGTTACGAGGCTCCAGGGGAGCCCACAGAGCCAAACCTCAGGCCCGGAAATGCTTGGGCAGCGCTGGCCACCCTCGACTCTTGCTTTCTTTGCAGACAGAGGTCTGGCGCCTTCCTCTTTATGGCGTCTTTGGCAACGTTTTCATGAGTCAGGTAGTCTTACTCAGCCAACAGCCTCCACAGAATATGGCGAATCAAGGCCTAAAAGGAACAAATGGCATCCTTGGGGAAGAACCACAGATTTACACCAGCACCAAGAGGGCCCTGATTACAAAGTTGAGAACCATGAACAAAACAGTGACATCTTAGCGAATGGAGGTATCACCCTCAGTGGTCAACTTTAGCATCCCAGCTGTCCTCACTGTCTAAAAGTGCTGAGTAATAGAGGAAAACAAGCGAAGGGTGGCAATAATAAGAAGCACTGTTCCAGTATATCCTATAGGGGCTTTTAAATCCTGGCATTATAAAATGAATTAGCTACAGCCCTTGGCCTCAGTGAGCCCACAGTTTTTGGGCAGGGATATATAAAGTAAGGAGTGGTCGGCATTGGAGGAACAATGCAGTGTCCTTTAACAAGTCAGGACAAGGTTCCTGGGGAAGGTGACCCCTTGGATGGGTGCTGAATTTGGGATAACTAAGCAAATGAAAAGCAAAGGATAAGGCAGTTGGTGCCAAGGGAAGCACTGAATAAAGAAAGGCGTAAGACATGACCGGGGCACGTGAGTCACAATCTGTCAGGAATGGGTAGGGCACAGCTGACCGGGGATGTATTGAGTGGGGAGAGGTCATGTTAGGATGGTCTTTCCAAAGAACTTAACTGTGATCCTGCCAACACTGGAGAACTACTCCTTTGCGGGGCCTTGAGGCGGAGCTTCTCATGGTGAACCTGCTTAAGAACAAACTGCAATCTATACTTTCCTACTTATGTCCAACTGTGTGCTCAACTTCCCAACCATGGCACACAATTGGATCTCAGTTTCTCTGTCTGTAAAATGGGGCCAGTTGCAGTATCTACACAAGTGAGGTTTAAGTCAATGTATTTAATACAATGCAATATATTAAATATGCAATATAGTAAGTGCTTAGAGTCAGATATTGTTTTTATTATTGTCACTGTTATTGTTGCTACCACTACCCTGAAAGTAGAGGAGGAGAGCATGGCAACCCACTCCAGTATTCTTACCTGAGAAATCCCATGGACAGAGGAGCCCAGCAGGCTACAGTCCACAGGGTTGCACTGAGTCAGACACGACTGAAGTGACTTAACATCCACGCATGCACGCACCCTGAAAGTAAGGGCTTGTCTTTTACAACAAAGAACTCAGCACAATTCTTTGTTGTAAAAGAATGTGACGATCACAAGCAGACTTTGTGAGCTTAAGGCTTTGCACGTATGAAGACATGATTCAGTCCTAAGTGCAGCAGGATCTGCTCCATTTATTTAGGTCTTCCTGTGCAGGCTGGACACAGGCAGTGGGACCCTGAAGAAGTGAGATCAGTGGCATTGAGAATGGGAATCTACCTGGGACTCAATGCAGTCATTTTCAGTTCTTGTAAGTTGGTGACTTCCCTACTGTATCAGTAGGAAAGTTAGTATGGGAGAATTAACATTCTGCTGAGGATTGCACTTTACCTGTTGTGCAGCAGTGGCATTTGGAATCAGCCATGAATAGTGCAAACACAAGTAAGTAAATCAAGATACAGCATATGGCAACCATTTTACACCATAGCAGGAGAGCACAGAGGGCCTCATATGGCATCTGCCATAAAATAAGCATTGGTTGATGTCAGCTATTGTCATCATTATTAGCTTATGATTACTATAAAGATAATGCTGATGTAACTGTCATGAAATCTTTTCAAGACTTCCTCTGATTGCAATAATCACCTTGTAGTATACACATATATCAAACCGTCATATTAGACACACACTTGCACAATATCTTATGTTAATTTTATCTCAGTAAAGCTGGAAATAAAAAGACTTCCACTGAAGTCTCCCTTGGGCAGTAAGTAAGTTGTCCTTCACCCAGCAGCCCTAGAAACAACTCTTATGCCCTTTGCAGTAACTGCTTCTTTTCCTGTGCCCTTTGACGCACAGTAAGTTTCTTGAGATGGGTGTTGCTTTTATCTTTGTAACCTCTGTTAGGAGTGCAGGGCGCAGTACCTAGTAGAAAAATACAGCTTGCTAAACAAAGGAGGTACATGAATTATAAATGCTTTAAACTTTGGCTTTTGGTCTAAAAGGGGATCAAAGAAAAATAGTTTATTCTCAGCAAACTACATCTCTCCTTGTAAATCTCAAGTTAGCTTGACCATTTTTCCTGCCATTTGGAAGTCTAGTTATCCTTGAGCATATTTCAGAAATTTCCCCTCTCAGATTTCAACCTCTAAAGCTCTTTCCACACCCACTTCTGCCTTTCTGTCCTTTTTTTCTCTATCACACTATGATCACCATCACCAGAGAGTATTCAGTTTAAAGTCCTTATCTCCTCCAGATGTGCGGTCTCCTTGAAGTAAGGTTCAAGTTCCAGCACACTGTCTGGTCACACTGATACCATGTCCTAGGCCAGCCTGCTGACTCTGAAGGGGCCAGCTGATGGCCAAGTCAAAAAAATGTGTGTGAGGTGTTTACATCTCATGTTTACTCTGCCCTTAAAATGTAGCAGGTGCCATGCTTCAAGACATTTTTTGAATTTTTTCCATTTTTACCTTCACAACAACCCTCTGAAGTGGATACAATTTGTTAAATTGTATGCATGAGGGAGGGGCTTCCCTAGTGGCTCAAGACGGTCAAGAATCTGCCTGCAATGCAGAAGACTGGGGTTCAATCCCTGGGTTGGGAAGATCCGCTGGAGACGGGCGTGGCAACCCACTCCAGTATTCTTGCTGGCAGAATTTCATGGACAGAGGAGCCTGGTGGGCTTACAGTCCATGGGTCGCAAAGAGTCGGACACAACTGAGTGACTGAACAACGACAACAATGCGGGAGGGATCTGAGGTTCAAAGAACTAACTTGTCTAAGGCCGTCCAGAAACTACATGGCAGAAGCCAAATTTGGAGCTGGAGCCGGGTTCTGACTCCATCCCAGTCTACTGTTTGCCAAACCTGTCTGACCATCAAGATTTACTGTGGCATTCGTATTCATTCACTGAAGTATAGTTGATTTAACTGTGCCATTTGTTAAATATGTGGATTCCAAGGCTCTGGACCAGATCTTCAGAATCTG